GCCAGACAAGATGCAGATGTCTAACGGATGTCTCAGTACATGCACCCCCACACAAGAGCCACTTTGAGGTCTGAGCACTTGCAAACCTCTTCAAATGCAATAGAGCACCAGAAAGACTACTGCTATTATTTCCATGTTCAAGTTTTTGATTCTCAAACTCTTACCCAAGGGATGACTGCTGGGAAGAAGAGCACACCCTGCTCCAAACAGCTGTGAAGTGTGTTTACAAAGAAACACGTGTTTGCTTTCTGGGGAAATGCACTGAAGCCACTGGCTTGCTGAAGGGGTTTTACACAGTCAAAGGGACACAGACAAGGCAACCTAAATCCAGAGCTGGAAAGCGCATCCATATGCAACAATGTACCCACACAATTTGTGCCCAGCAGCTCCTCAGCTATCAGAACACTGCAGAGATTAAACTAGATTCTAAAGCTCTTTATGAGCAGGTTCAACCAGCATGATCTCAGGTAGACAAGCTCAGAAACAGTTTCCAAGATGACCACTTCAAATTTAAAGCTACCAGCTCAGATCCACTGCTCGCCACAGAAATCACTATTAGATGCAGCTAACATGTTATCACAAATATGTACAGAAAATAAACTTCTATGTCAAAGCAAGTTCCCCTTACAGAAAACAAGAGCTTGAATGGCAGAAGGTACACAGCTGTTGCTGTGCTTCAGGAACTTTTTAAATCCCTACTTATGCTTAGCTCTGTTCTATCTCACCTATCACCTTCTCCAACAGTCACACACACTGCATGTCTTCAGGCAAGTTTTCTTTCATATGCATAACGTGTAACAGCCTTACAGTTACACCACAAGCTGTTCTTCTCCAACTGAAATACATTTGGTCTTTCATGCTGCACTCTAAACCACATCTACTACATCATTTTACAGAATGCTTAAGAAAGCGATAGCAATTTGAAGTTCAAGTACACAAGAGCCATAGGAAGCTCATGTGCTGAGAAATCCTATTCAAACCATTATAATGGCAGCTTCCCAGGCATGTGAAGCAACCATGCACATATGCAAATAGGTCCAGTAATGACTTATTTATGACATCTCCCACTTAAATATGTGAAAGCACTTAACAGAGCTGAGCAAGTTCACCTAAGGGTCACCTCTCTGTATTCAGTGCACGTTTGCTCACTGAGACTAAGCTGAACACTAAACGCAGGGTTCCCTTTCAGCACACAGGAGCACACTTGTGGTTTCATAACAAAGGCTGAAAAGTTAGTGCTGGAATATACAGTCAACTGTAGGAGTTGAGTTATGAAAAACTACAACATTAAGTGATAAGTAGACTTGACTTACAGCCCAAAATTAGGAATTCTGCATAACAGCAATCCTGTGATGTACACCAGTTTAAGGAGTTTCCCTTCCACTCAGAAGTCTAAACGTTATACAAGTTATGCACCAACTCCTGTCCTTGCAAGGGGGGAAAAACATTACCTGTCATCAAATGGTCTTACATCCAGGATAGATCAGATTAGGCAAAACAGCAGCCAGAGGAGACAGTTTGCATTTGCTGCTCTACCATCACACTGGAAACATTTCCTGAAATCATTACATGGAACGTGAACCCAAACTGTCAAGCTTTATTTTGTATTTAAAGTAACGAATTTAAGGAACAGATCACAAAATTAACTTCAGAATTCATTTCTCCTGTGTTGTCACATGAAAGATGTAAGGGGAAGAAGGAAGAACAGGGAGAGACCAAACCAGCTAGTGCCTTCCTATATCCAACCAGTTCCCTGTATTCTTTCCCAGGTGGTCTTACTGCAGTAACCCTGGAAAACACCTCTACACAGAAGACACAAAGTGAATTCTAACTGCAAGTCACACGACAGCAGAGTCAGCTGTCAGAGCACACAAGAACAAAGGAGAAAGCATGTTGAAACCAGTCACTGCAAACCATGACATTGGACAAAGTTTCAGAAAATTAAAGCTTTTCTTCTTTCTCCGGAGTGTCCGAGCATACCAGCAGTAAGGCTACACAAATAAGCAATGAAACCACTAACTCAAGTTTAAGTGGCCCTATGCCTCAGTTCTTGCACAAAACAGTTTTTTGACACCTTTCTTCCTGCAAAACAATTTTCTAACCTGAGTAGCACTCTATTCTTACTTAAAGGAGAGACAGTGTTTCTTCTACTCCTCAACAGCTCCCTTCCTTTCCCGCCTTTTGACATACACACACCAGACAGAAGCTGCTGCAGCTTCACCAGCCCTACTATGCCACACTAAAGTCAGAATGCTGTTTTCTTAACCCTTGTAAAATCAATCAAAACCTTAAGGCAGTAGAAGTAGGTTGGTCAGGGACTTGTCCTGCACACCCACATTGTACCTTTTGGCTCAGACATCAGCCAATAGTATAAGCATTTGCATAACCTGACTGCATCATCCTTTACTTAGAAACTTTCCTTCTCAGTAACTGTGTCTGAGATGACACTTCACCACCATTCTCCATGGGGTCCTCCCACCTGTCATTCTGCAAGCTCTTGTTTTTCCTCTACCCATTCCAGATTACTAGGCATAAGCCTTTCAAAGCAGTTTTTCTCACCATGGCATGACAGCAAGTGCATGCTTTTGAAACACTGCATCTTAAAAGAAAAGCTGCCAATTATGCTATTGATTCGAAATTTTTCTCTTGCCAGTAGCAAAAGGAAACTAGCTTAATTAATTAGCATCCAAACAAGAGACTACATGTCTCTCAGTGGCACTACCAAATATTCCTTCAGTCATAGACATGCAACAAAACCAAGGCAGACACTGACAGAACACAATGATATTCTCAAAATAGGAATCACTTGATAATCAAGACATTTAGGGTAGGGTGTTTTGGTTTTGTTTTATTTAATCATCAGAGTCAGAGGAGTTAAAATTCCCTCCACAAGCCACGCAATATTTTCTTACTTCTATCTAGATCCTACAATTAGGGGGTCACCTGACAAAACCACTTTCTGCCACCCCCTTGGATTAATCTTGCAAGCAAATCTACTTTTTCCGTTTAATAATTTAACAGGATCACACCCGATTGCAGAAGGAGAGCCCGCTGCCTCCAGTGACCCAGCCTTAGTGCTAGCTGTTGACTGAGATAATGTGCTCCTGGAAGTCCCACTGCATAGTCTAGCTAAATAATGAAGAAACAAAGACTAGCAAGACACTGTTGGCCAGACTAGATTCATGGCTGCATTCAGAGGAGGAACATGCCAAAACATGAAGAACAGTGCCATTTCAATATAGCAGTCCTCATTTCTGAAAGTTTTCTTAACGCACCCATAAATAATGACATTTGGCCATACCCTTAGTAAGAAGATGACTGTCAAGTGTCACCCCAGCCAAGCCACGTTGGGTTATTTCACATTAGAACGAATACAGTGGCATAACCCAGCCCTCCTGTCCACAGGTGACTTGAACACAGCAATTCTTACAGAACAGTTTGGGTTGGAAGGGGCCTTAAAGACCATCCAGTTTCAATTCCTTGCCACGGGCAGCGACACCTCACACTAGACCAAGCTGCTCACCTCCTCTCACCCTCAGACCTCCTGTATCTGTGGATGCTCCCACAGTGAAGTCCCCCCACAGGGACACACTCAGCCCACCAGCCCACCCCCAGAAGAGGCTCATGCACCTTCGCTAACCTTGGTCTCCAGCCTGGGCACATGCACCGCGGAGCTTCCCTCAACGCCTCCCGGCCTGACCCTCAAAGGAACGGGGGACAAAAAGCCCTGCTCAGGCGGCCCCAGGGACCGGGCCCGCCCCGGGCTAAGCTCCCGCACACCCCGCTCGCTCACACGCCGCCCCAGGCAGAGAGGGAGCCAACACGGACAGCAGAAGAGCCCCCTCGCCTCGCACCCCTCCGGTTCTACCCCTTCACCGCGGGAAGGCCCCTTCAGCTGCCGTCGGTCCCTTCCCGCCCCATCGGCCGCTTCCCACTGCCCACCTGCACAGCTCCCGGTATGATTCGTTCAGGGCCGCGGCGGCGCCACCGCCTCCCCCCGGCCGCAGTGACAGCACCAGAAGGCCAAGGAGAAACGGGGCGAGCGCAGCGGCGCGGGACCGCGGCAGCGCCATGCGGGGGGCAGCGACTGCCATGGGCGCAAACCGGACCGGGCCGACACGGCTGCCCCGGGACGTCAGGCAGCGCCGCCGACCACAGGGACGTCATGTGACACCCCACCGCCCGCCTACTCCCCGGTCATGTGACCGCCGTCATGTGCGGGCGCGGCATTCACATGATGTGCCCTCTATCGGCCGCGGGGTGGGTGGAGCCTTCTGTGGTAATCCCCTCTCAGGCACACACCCCCCCGGCCTGCACGTGGTGGGGGCGGCGGTTGCGAGGCCTCAGGCGCTATGATGCGGCCTCTCAGTGTCGGTCAGTATCAGTCAGGGCCGGGGTGTAATGGCCACCAGCCACCTCTACGGCCTCCCTCTGCTACCTGCTCACAGGAAACAGGACGGAGGCCTTATCTCCGTGCCCCCTGGTATGGTGTGGTCTGGGTTATGGGGCTGACCTGCTGCCACGTGGGCAGCCTTACAAAACACTACCTGAAAGAAGTACGGAGTGAGGAGGTAGCTGGTTTCTTCTCATAAGTTACAAGTGATAGATAGGGCAAGAGGTACGGCCTCAAGCTGTGCCAGGGGAGGTTTAGATTGCATATTAGGAACAATTTCTTCACCAGATGGGTGGTCAGCCACTGGAACAGGCTACCCAGGGAAGCGGTGGAATTACTGTTGCTGAAAGCGTTCACACACTGTGTCAATGAGAACCTAAATGACATGGTTTAGTGGTGGAGTTGGCAGTGCTGGGGTAATAGTTGGACTTGATGGTCTTCAAAGTTTCGTCCAGCCCAGTTGGTTCTATGATTTTATGGTACTTACTCTGGAGCATTGGCCTCGAAAGGGGCAGACTACCTGCTGGGCAGTGGTGTCAGGAGCGAGACTCAGAGCCCAGTGCTGTGCTTGCCTGCTGGCTGGCTACTGTGGGGGGTATTAAGTGTGCAGAGGCTCACCTTGTGAAATGTGCTGTGAGTGGTCACGTAGGAGGTACACTGCTTGGAAAAGGTTAAGTGGAGTTTTAAATAAGTTACTCAAAATGTGCTGTGAGCGATAGAATGGTTAGGGCTGGAAGGGAGCTTTAGATCAGCCACCTTGAGACCAGAAAACTAAACCCATTAGGGATGGTGACTGAGGAAGCAGTGACAGCGATGTGGTCAGTTACACAGCTGCAAGAGTTGCTACTACAGTGGGGAAGCTGGCATGGTGTGGAAATTATCCCCCATTTCAAACAGTGGGCAGGAGGGAAGGCTTGCACAAGACAGCAGCTTCATCAGAGGGAAGTGGAACAGATACTAACCTGTCACCTCTGCCTCATAAACTGCCAAGAAGAGCCAGATGTCCCAGAGCTTGTATAATAGATTATTTCCAGGGTTTATCAATTTTTCACTGGAGTGTTTAAAAAAGAGAGATTTAGCATTTAATTTTTATGAAACAGCATTTAAGAAGAAAAGGACCTCTGAGAGTGGAAAGAGGTGTAAAGGTGGGGAGAGTGAAAGAAAATAAAAATTGCACCCATTAAACAGACAGCTGCCTTATTTGTGTGAAGAAATTCTTCACTAGTTACAAATGCTTTCCAAAAGTCAATCACACAAAGAAACACAAAGGCCTACAACTGAAGTATTTTATTTTTCTTGCCCCGTTCCCAGTCATCCAAAGCAGTAAGACAGCAGTGAAGATTGACCTCTATGGCAGTTTAGCCTGGTTCCAGGCTGCTATAATCATGTCCTTTTCTCCTTTTCTCTCCATTACATATTCAGCTTCCCCCCTTTTCGTTAACACTAAGTCCTTCTGCAGCAGGACAGTTTGGTGGCTAAAGCTGCTTATCTGGCTGAAAGCTAACATACTATTTTGATTGTTCTATGTAGGTTTTGAGCTCTACCATTTGCCTGACATACTTGGCTTACTGCATAGCTGCACAAACACCTACACTAGCTCAGGGAGGGGAAGAGGAAGGCATCACTGGTGCTGCAGGGGAGGAATTCCCGGGTAAGATCAGCTTTAGCTGCTGTGAAATTTCACCCGACCAGAGAAGCCAGAAGTTACAGCTAAAGTCAAACCGATCCTGCCCACCACCAAGCACAGCCTTGGCCCCCACTTCCCACTGCCTTGTCTGCCTGCATAAGATGTGCTGGTGCTTGTGTAAAGCCACTCAACAAAATTGAGCTCACTAGTCCAACAGGAAAAAATCACCTGCTGAAAAAGAAGGAATAGTTTTCTTCTGGCTCAGCAGCTGTAGCAGCTTAGTGAAGAGATGTATCCTGGTACAGGGACAGAGGAGGAAGAGGAGACAGGTAAAGAAGAAATGGACTGCATGTGTTGGCCTTTTAAGCCATAGCAACTTAGCTTTTAAAGTTATCACAGCCTATCCTAATAGCCATGTCCTCAGCTGATGGAGAGAGGATGACCTTCAGTCTTTATGCTGGAAAGAGTGTTGTGACATGAAACAGTAATCAATCTATCTTTTCTCAGAACCTAAGAAAGAAAAAATTAATGAAAAGGACTGAGTAACTGCTATTACCCTTGTCAGTTTTCCATTAGCATATGATGGATTACTGCCAGCTCTTCCACTTCTGTTTTAGCCTTCAGTGGTTTTCTTAATCTGATTACCTGAGAATCCCTGTTGTCTGCTTATAAAACTCCAGACTGTAAAGACAAGCTTGATGACAGGAGCTGAAAGGCTCAAAAGAAGACAAAAGCAGCAGACAAAATGAATACCGAGTCTATTATTGCTGTGATTATGTTTCCTAAAATTTGCTGTTCTGCTGGCAGTTCCCCCACCACTCACTCTAGCCAGAGCAGTGCAGATACATAAAACTTACTAGTAAATTCTGACTCTGCTTACCAAGTTCCATTAAAAATGTATTGACCCAGAAATTCACTGCAGACAGCAGTGCAGGCAGGCATACTGTAGCTTCTGATCTTACTAGCTATCCGTGTTCCTGCAAGTAGAGCTTTATTCTTGAAATTATCTTTGTGTACTTTCAAGCATGTGAGTGACTCCACTGAAGACAATGCGACTGCTCACCTTGGTAACGTTAAGAATGCATATAAAGATCTGCAGTGTCAGGGCCTGGCAGTGGAAGCAGTTAGTTTCACTTATCTGGTAAGGGCCAATTCAAAGTTGCTTACTGACAAAAGAATGAAGGAGTTGATACCTGTTACATTCTTCATTCTGCATACTGCTTTGTATGCATAGGCCTTATGTTTGCACAAGGCGCAGAGGCTTCAGAGCAGTTTCTTTGCATGTAGAGAAGAGTATGTGAGCAGCTACCTCACAAGAAAGAAAGAAAATGAACCATGAAGTTAAAAAATTCTGGTTAGAAAAGAAATTCTACTTTCCTCTGCGGTACTAATACACAAATGCATCGACCTAACAATGAATCAGAGTTACAACACAGCAAGGATAGCCATGGAAATGCAGAAATACTGAAATATACAATGTAAGCGCAGATAATTTTAAAATAAGTTTATAGTGTAGTTTTCTGATTCCAATCCTGTTCATTCAGATTCCAGTCCTCCGACTGGTTCCATTTCCTATATATTTTCCTTAACTTTTATAGTCTGGGGGACTCATTGTTTCTTAATGTTTCTCCCATGTTTAAAGCTAACTACATGCATAAATTATGTGTCAGTCATTTTTGTATCCTGAGCTGTGTTTTGCAAATAGGCAGAAGTGTTTTATTCTGAGTATCATTTATAAGTAATAATTGAAATATTTCCCACCTGTGTTTAATGTTACTGGCATCTTGGCTACCAGGATACCATTAAAATATCCTGAAATGTAATTTCATAATCTTACCTTTTCCTCAGGAGAGGCTCAGCTCAATGACGTTGCATTGAATCCCAGTCTACCTCAGATTCATGCTGAAATTTCCAAGCTATGGATGATTTTCAGAGGCAGGATATCATACACAGGTGGTGAATACATAGGTCCTCCAGGATTCTTCCTTGCAGCTTGACAGGTGTCAAATGTCACATCAGTTCATGGTTCTTCTGATCCACAGTCTTGCTTCATGTGGCCAGAATCAGCTTCGGCAGTACAGGTCAGCTGAGTGGCAGCTCGTTTCTACTGTTACTGTCTTAGTTCCCTTTAATGCTCATATCTAATCTGTGTTTTCAATAAATAGGAACAAAAATGCTTTCAGAATCCAGAGCTAGTTTTATATTTGATCGTGGAAAATTCTTTCTCCAGGGAGGTTTGAACAGTTTATTTCCAGCTGTCTGCAAACTATGCTGTAATAAAATAATCAGTTTCATGCATTATGAAAATTTCATAAGGCTGTTATATGGATCTGCACTGTTCTTCAGAAAGCGCAGAGGCACTGCTCAGTGGGTGTTCTCTCTTCCTTTTTTTTGCTCACTACACCTGAACTTTAGTCTTCACAATCTTACACCCATTGCCATTATTTCTGAATGTTCCTCTTTCTTTTTGCTGCTCGTCCAGTCTCTTGCCATTTCTCTTAAGTCTTTCGACTCCTTTTCCTTCCTTTTCTGTTCTGCTTCTGCTCTTCCCTCTTTCTTTCTAGCACTTTTCACAAGCAAGCCCTTGATAAGAGTTATCTCCTGATTTGAATTATGAGTTATCCTGCTTCATAACAATGTAAAGTAAGACTTTTGAGGAAAACAGTGCCTGATGGCCTTATTTGGTAGACTTATGTTTAGGCTTATGTTATGCAGTTAGATAATTAATGACATTTCCTATTCTAGCTGATATCATTCAGTGAAACTGTAAAAGAATATCAGCTTTGTCTAAACACATTGACTTTATCTGAAATCTTTGGCTTGGTGGGAAAGTTCTTACAGGCTGTACTCAGTGTATGTGCTGAAAAGGGCACTACTTTGTACTGTGGCTTGGACGGTTAGAACACAGCCCTAGTCAAAGCCCTTCTTAAATCATTGCCTGAGTGAGTCTGTAGCAGCTTTTCGGTATTCCCTATTCTCTTTTCACATCTTTAATCTAGTTTTCTAGTTTTTCACATCCTTTTTCTAGATTTCACAACTTTTGGCTCTGGTTGAGTCAGAACTTGGTATATTATAATGATGAAGGATCTGATTCACCAGCTAGGACCAAGGTTACTTGGTGGACATACACCAAGTAGAACAAGAACTCAAAATATAAATCACTTCACCAGAGTAAACCAATGGTATTTTCATTGTTAGTTAGTGAATTTTCACTAGCACAAGTTTTTTATGTGGGAGGAATATTATCTGACTTCTCTGCTAATTTTGTTTCATTTGAAGGCCCTACTAGAAATTTACCACAAATGATTTAACCTCAAAGCACCTTACCAGTAAATCTAGAGTGAAAGACTCTTCAGTGTTTTAAACCTTGTTACCGAGTCCTGGGCTCTTTTATTTCAGTGTCAGCCTTCACACTTCAGTCTGTTCTTCTCGCAGGAGCTTTTGTCTCTATGGTCTCTTGTTGACAGCTGTCTTTGAGCTAGCCATCGTCCTTTGGTTCTGTGTGTTACACCAATACTGGGACGGCATGCAACATGAACCTGCTCTTGCTGACCTTGCTGTGTTCCTAGAGAGCATTCTGTCAGACAAGCAGATGTAAGTATGATGGTAGCAAACACAGCCCCCCTTTATAAGGTAGGCTTTGGAAATGAAAATATTTCCACATTTATTTGTTGTTTCAGAATTATTTTCTGACAGTTCCCTCTCTTCTCCTCCTGACTTATGTTTGTCAGTGATCTCCCAGGCTGTTACCTGTTGATACTACCCATGTACTCCAACAATATCACCATCTCTTTCCAAGTATGTCATGTTTTACTCTCCAGTAATTCCACTTTTCCAATCACTTTTTAACTTCTGGAGATGAAGTGTTTCTTTTTCCTGCATCTGGGACCTCATCTGTAACATTATTATCTAAATGCAAGTTGTAGCTCAGCACAGAAGAATGTGATAATGGAAAAAAAATGGCCTCCTGCTCCCTCACCTGCAGTAGCTGAAAACAGTTGTGGTTCCTCTACTGTGGGAAGTGCAAGCTAATACAAGATGTGTAAAGACGACTTGCCATGGCAAAAACCTGCAGGTATCTCTTGTGGAGCTGAAGTGAATAAAGGAGACTTCTTAAATCTGGAAGACTTACTGCTCTAACTAGTAGTATTTTTATGCTGAGATAATAAGTAACTTTTTCTAATTCAGTAGTTATTTTGACTAATTCATTAGTTCTCTGTATGACTATGAGTTGTCCTCTCTTCAGTCTTGCTTGTCTCGAGGTAGCTGATAAATACCTGTTCTGCTTCATTTTTCCTGGGTTTGTGTAGTGTGACTTCTTTCGCTTCTAACTGAAGGACACCAAAATGAAAATCCCTTCTTCAGCATCACACTTGAAAATTAACAAACTTAATACCAAATCAGTTTTGTTTAAAGCAGAAAGGCTCAACCTAAGTTTTCTTTCTTCATATTCCTGTCATGGGAAAGAAGCAATGCAAGATATGTCTTGCATAATGTGCTATTTGTAGAGGACTAAAATGTGTAGTATACTTTATTCAGTTGTTTCTTCTATCACCTTGTCTTTCTATAATATATTTATGTATAAACATGTATTTTCATAGCCACATTCATAAATATGTTTAGACTGATATTAAAAATCTTCTAGATAAGCATTTTATTTCCATTACATTTGTCTGTAAAACATTTTAAGATACGTGAAGTAGAAGAATAAGAGAGAAAGTTGCTTACATATAAAATCATTTAGCAGAAAAGTAGCAATTTGTTTTTTTAATAATAGATACCACATGTCCCTGTACAGTTTATATTCACAAGTTGCTGAAGGAGATGGGGTAGAGAAAAATAAATATCCATAGCAGTGTATAGGTATATGAAGGCCCAGTTAAGCCATTACAAGATTAATGCCAAATAACAATACTGTATAAATGGTTCAGTTAAAGATTCACATTATATTATAGTAATAGATTGCACATGTAGATCATCAGACAAGAAAGAGATCACCAAACTACATTGTTTTGAATCTGTAATATATGAATTTGAGTCAGTGGAAATAATTCCAGATTTTCCTTACCCTTTTTTTCCAGTCAGAAACTGAGTTAAATGAACAGAACACAAGTAAATATGACAGTGAATGTGCTAAGAAATATGGGTCAGATTGACATGAAATGACAATGAAGAGTTTTCTGGCAGTATCTTATTTACTGACATGAAATTTAAAGATAGAATAAGTGTTATCACAGGGAAGAAAAATCTTACAGTTCACCCTTACTCAAGTGAATAAAAACCGTGGTGGAAAATATACTAGTGATTAATATTGAAATTTTGAGATGGTCATTTCCTTAGCAGCCGAAGTAAAGTAATACTAGGAAATACCAGGTATGTTCTCTCCCAAAATAGGATGGAAGATTGATGCCACACGAGAGAAAATAGTTTTCTCTGTATGTTATTTGCCTTAACTTTCACCTTCAAAGTGTTCTAATGTGCAGTCAAGCATCACAGCATGAGCTCTGAAACAGGTACTATTGGAGCTGATGCTTTCTGACATGCTAGCCCTAACTTATATTTTAAGCCTTTGGTAAAACTAGTTGGAGGGATTTCTGCACCTTTTCTTCTTCCTGCTCCACACAAAGCAGTAATGAGGAGACTGACACTGTGTTTGATGGTGGGCAGCAGTACTGAAAGCTTGTTCAATCTTCTTGGTGGTGTTTTGTTATCCTAGTGCTACATGAGGTGCACAATTTCATGAGCATGGCCAAGAGAAAACAGTAATGGCTGCAATGACTCTGAGTAAACAGGGTAGGAGGCATGCAGCCTCTGCAGAGTTTACAAATCTTATGCTAAGGATCAAGCTGGAGCGAAGTATGAGTACACAGTAGAAAACTTGTCATGGATTGAAAGATGAGAGATGCATGTCATATATTGCACTGTGAGTGTCCAAGGACTTAAAACAGTTGTGCTGAAGGCTTAAAGTCTTCTGCTACAGAGATTAAGCAAGGGAGAAACCACAGGATGGCATACACAGTGGCTGAATGATGCTTTGGGAGAGAAAAGTTTCTTAACACTGAAGACAGCTAAGAAACAGGGGCCAGTATTGTGCTCAGAAAGATATAGCAGATAAATGAACCAAAAGGGATCTGATAATGTAGTTAGTGAGTAAAGCTATATTTATAGAGAACCTCATCTGTTTGTTGCTCTGGCACTGGCCTTACTGGCCCAGCCTGTCCCCTGGTGTCGTGGTCCCCTCCAAGCCAAGACCAGGGAAAAAAAATACCAAATAAACCAAAACAAAAATTTCTATTTGCATATATTTATTTTCACCAAAATAATTACATATTGTTGTATTATGCAATTGAGTATCTTCAGTGAGATTGGAGTGTGTGTTCATCTGAAAATCTTCATTTGCCATAAAGAGAACTTTTTTCCTATAAATAATATAAAAAAGTTATATCTGAAACACATATGACACTCTTTTGAGTCAAAAAATAAATTCAGATAGACCGAAGACAACATAGAACATAAAGCACCTTCCTCCAATGCATTTAAGGAAATGTTTTTATCTTCTGTGATAGAACAGTGACACCAGGGTGTACACTCTATCTTCTGCACATAGCTGTTAAAAGTTTTACATCTGTGTGTGGACTCTTTAGACATAAAAATACTTTTATTGTTCAAATTACTATTTGTTTGCTATAATATACAATTGTCAAGGCTCCTATTTGTCAGAAATCTTTAATGGGATCAATAAGTACTTAAAGTTACTCCTACTCCATATACAGCAGCTATTAAACAAAACAAACAAAAAAAGGTTTCTTAGTGTCACTTCTTGCTTAGTAATGTTAGAATGATAGAATCTGAGTAAGAATCTAGTTCCCATTCTCTTGAGGACAATCCTTCAAGGTGACCATGAAATACTAATAAACTATAGAGATAAGTAGAAGGTGTTAGTGGTAGAATAATTACAACAAATTAAAGAAAGTTTAGGAAAAAAACTACTATCAAAAATGAACATTAGTCTAGATTTCAAACCTATTGACTAAAATTCCAGTTGGAATAAGAAAAATATATTTTCTGTATCACTGACTTCCAAGCAAAGGTGCTGAGGGAGGTCAGAAAGGCTGTGCAGGCAGAGGCTAGGGCAGTAATGTGAGGCAGGGACTGCCCCATGGTAAAGTGACTGTCATGTCAGAGTGTGTGGCCAAGGTGACTATTTCAGGTAGTCAGTGGCTCCCCACAGAGCAGCTGGCACAGGGGCTGGTGAGGAGAAAAAATATCCCCTGACTTGACTAGGTAGCATATAGGACCTGGTTCAAAATGCCACTGTCAAAACACTGCTGAGCAGTAGCTACTGTAATCCATACAGATTTGTACAGGAGTAACAAATTTGTGGACAATTGCACATAATGTATAGACAGGTGCTCCTTAAAAGTGAGGAGTTTTGGAGTTTTTTTAAAGAAAGAAGCTGAAGATAAAACATCTGTTAGGAGTTACACAGAAATCTGTTAAATCACAAGTGGCACAGACAGGCTGGTCAAAGCAGACTGTTCATACTGTGTTTTTTTCCAATACAAGAATTAGGGACATTAAAAGATCTAGGAGTAGCAGCTCTAAACAACTTAAAGGAGGATATTTTCAGGAACTATTTAATTAAGCTGTGAAACATTGTTAAAGAACTGTTGTATGGCCTCCAGTGTAGGTCAGGGGTATCTGTTGAAGAGAATCCATTGACAGTTGCCGAATACTCTATAGCTAGTACTTTACCTGCAAGACAAGCTTTCCTGTCCTGCACCACTGCAAAGTACTTATTAACATCACCTGATCTGCACAGGGTTATTTCACTCTCTCCCACAGATGCAGACAACTTTTAAAAATGCAGGCTGCTGGAGAATCACATTGGTTTTGTGCAACAAATGAAGTGTCACATTTTCCTTTGTTCCTTTTTTTTAATCATGGAATAATGTGCTTATCAGTTCCCCATGTACTGCAGCTTGTCTGCACAGAGAAGAGTCATCAGGTGCTGTTATGAAGAAGAAAGAACATACATATTTTTATCTGTGGACTGGGAAACATTAATAATTTCTGTCAGCTGCTAGCTGTTCATTCTTATTTATCCTTCTGGATGTTCATCTCATGCTGAATGTTAATTTTGTCTGCTCTGTGAACTGATCTATGGACAGTTGTCAAATTCTGAAACATTTCAGGGCATGGCCAGACACAGGGGAAAGGGGTAAGAAGCTAAAAGTCCTAGAGCACCTACTCAGTTTGCGTGCATCCATATTGCCCTGCTGCATATTACTGCCTCTTCAGATCTACTGCCCTGGCTGCATGCATAGTGATTCTTAACCCAAACTTGTCATAATAGTCTGGGTATGTTTAAGCACTATAAATAATATGCCTTGTCTCACCTGAATCACTTTGCAAGGACTGGCTTACACACATGGTTAGAGTGGAAGCATATTTTGGACATGCTTCCTGAAACATTGTTTGTCTCTGGTTCTCCATGTGGTTATTGTAAAGGGTCTTGAGGTAAGGGTAAGGAATGGCTTTAGAGAAGAGTGTTGTTTTTTTTCTGGGCTACATCTACCCTGAAAGTTTATGGCATGTATTACTGTTGACAAATTCCCTGACAGTCCCCCAGTCCCCAGCAGGTGCATGCAGATGCCACATGTGTGTAGACATCACACACAATCATTCCACCTGATGCTCCCAGGGTGTCTACAGACCTGCTTGCAGCATCCTGCCCTGGGGAGCTGCTCTGCTGATTTGTAATTCAAACAGTACAGTAGATCACTGTCCTAAGAGAGTAGCAGACTGCACTCACCTACCATCTGAATGAGTAGATGTGACTAGCCTGGGACTGGAGTTTCAAAAACAAAAAATGGGACAAGTAGAAGGGCTGTCACAGATAAAGGTTTCAGTGGAGTGAGGGAATTAGGAAGACAGAAGGGTAACCTCTTCCTTTTCCCAATTCTTTTCTGCAATTACACAGCAACATTTTAATGTAAAGAGAAGGAGGCACATGCGTAGAAGTAATATTTATCCTTCTGAGATCTCATCTCTATGTGAATTCCCATCTAGTCCTCAGTCTTAACCTACCTCTTCCTTATTGCAGGACTGGCAATCTTTCAACAAAGAAGGGGAAGGTTGTATTTTTCTTTCCCCAGTTAGCTATTAAGTGTGCCAGTGGAAACTTGGCGGGAAGCTGAAGATGCTGCTTCTGCCTGTGGCAAGAGGTCTTAGTTCCTGCTGAATTTGGAGCTCCATGGAGGCCAGAAACAAATGCATCTCCCAGACGTCTCAAAGTGCCACAGCTCTCTGACTGCCCAGACCTCCCATGTTTTGTCTGTGTCATAAACCTGACATAGCCCAATCCCTTCCTTCCTATTGTCTTCCTCTGTACTCTGCAGCTTGGCTACAGTTGGGCAAGTGGCCCTGGAAATTAAACTCCGCAGAACACCTACGCCAATACCTTAGCATACAGCTGAAGGAGGCAGTCAGCTGGATTGGTGTGGCTGGGGTGTAGCCCCACTCCTGCCTTTTGTGAGGCACCTTTCTTTTTTGATGTTTATCCAAAACTGATTGTTACAAAACACCAAGACCACACAGGGAGTACATATTCTCCAGAGAACAGCTAAATACTAGGTAAGTGCCTGGGACAGCAAGTGTTGGGACTAACTTTCTCATAGACTCCTTGAATAACTAAACCTACAGGAACACTGACATTTTGGGGATGAGCCAGCCCCACCCTTCATAATTAAGGCAAAAGCCTTCTGTGAGTTGACAACATCCCTATGTTGCCAGCTAGTCCTGTGTGTAAGTTACCAAATTATCCAAGGACCCAGAGAAATGCTGATGTTGCTGGAGATTTCACAATGTAGCCCCTTAACCACAGAGGAACTTGATGATTTAATATATACTTAAAGGTCTTGATAGACCTAAGCTGCACCGTATGTTTTTGGGTATGTATGGGGACTTACTCCCACATGTGGATTTCTTCCTCTGTTTCCCCCAGGGAGCAGCTCTTTTGCGCACTTAGACAACCTGGAAACCATTAAAACTAAATCCCAGTATGTAACATGAATCCTGTGTTTAGTGGGTTTGACTTTCAAAAATGCGTATACACACAGGCCCTGATGACTTCAATAGCATTTATGGGTGCTTGGTGCTTGTATAAATGTCACACTATTTATAACATATTCCTGTGTCCTTTTTATATATTCTCTGTTGGCCTGTCTCTTTTCCACTGTGGTATCTTTGACTGACATAGTCACATCAGGATGTAGCATGTGTTTGAATAATTAAAATACAAATAGAAGTTATCTTTATTCTAGTCCATATTTTTCCATTGCTCAGCCACCAAAGATAACAGTACTATTTCACCACTGCTTTTTACATTCTATGGAAGAAAAATACTTTTAATTTTGTAGTGGCTTTCTAAACCTTCCACATCCAATTATTTGTCCCTAAAGTTTCCCCTCTAAGCATTAGAAAATTGTTTCAGCTATATCCAAACTCATGCCAACTTCCTGGCTTCTCGGCCGCAACCCATCAGCAAGTGCTCTACTAAGAACCACTTTGAGGCTCTCCTTGAACCTCTTCTTCTTGCTGCTTCCTACAAAGAAGTAAACAAGGGGGTTGATGCTACTGTTAACGGTGGAGAGAACAATGGTGACGTGGTTCTGCTGGCTGAGCAAAGATGACCAGTGGTGGTAATTCAGAAGATACAACAGCCTCATAGGCATGGCGAAGATGAGGAAGACAATGACTGTGGCCACAATGATGATGTAGAGCTTTGACGAATGAGGTCTCAGGGAGTTACGATGAATCCTGATAACTAGGATGAGGCTGGACAGAATCATTAGAGGAATGAAGATCATGAAAGTCAGGATCCATGTGAAGATGAGCAGTGCTTGGCAGTGGTTGCCATCGTCGAATTGTTCCTTTGTTGAATCATCTTTGCATGTTAGGTATTCAGCTACTGTCATCAGAAAAGAGAGAGTCCACAGAATTGCACACACAATTGCCGATTGGTGCTGTGACCGGTGGCATCGGTACCAGATGGGGTAAACAATAGACAGACACCTCTCAATACTGATGGCTGTCAGGAGATAGAGACCAGTATTGTATCCAAGAAGGAAGACAATAGATAGTGTGGTGGTTATGTAATAGTAAAAACCATATGCAAATCCAAAACCAGCAATGTACTCAATTGACAGAACAAAGGTACAAAGCAGTAAGGAGATATCAGCAATGGACAGGTGTGTGATGTACGCAGTGAATGGGTTTCTTTTGATCTGGAAGCAGAGGCACCAGAGGACAATTCCATTTTCACAAAAACCCAGGAAGGAGATGATCATAATTACCCAAAGTGGGGTCAATATCTCCCAGACCCTTTCCTGTGTAGAAATGTTTCTGTGCATTGAGATGTTCTCTGTGCCTTCGCTGGGATGAAACGTTATGTTTGACTCATCCATGAGGAAAGGTCAAGTTTGGATAGCACAGATCTTCCTTCTGTAAATATGTATAAAAATATACTGTGAGCATTGTTGTGCTCCTCCCCTCCCCCTTTTCTTTCTGTTTTGTGGACCCACAATTTCTGGTCACATCTGAAAGCCTTATCAAAAGGAAAACCAGCTTTCATATACTGATGCTAGCTGAAACCCAGTTGGAACTACTCTTGGCAATGTTAAATACTGCTAAGCCCATCATACTAGCAGAAATCCTGAGCTTTCTTCTCAGTGGGGTTCAGCACATGAGTGCTAAACCGCAGCTAAACAGATAGATACTCTTAAAGAGCGATCAGACAAGCAATGTGCCCATCGCATTGCAACCTTTCGTGATCATAGCAGCCACAGATAGCATTGGTGGTTCTTCTTAGAGGCCTGGATTGCTGCGAAACAGGTCTGTTCAGCTCCCGTTGAAGCTAATGGTATAAATTTTAAGTTAAATGTGTATTTCAAGTGAATTTGCCTCATAAGTTTTTTGGTTAAAAAAAAAATAATAAATTGATACCAACATCATTTTTCCAGGAAGGGTTTTAATTAAGTAAAAATAATAGTTACTCAGCATTGTATTCCCTCCTAGTACAGAGGTGGAGGGAATGCAAAATGCTACATTTATCACAGCATAACATAATTTAACCACATTTACACACTCTGAATACTTATCACAACTTCAAATATCCTGCAAACATTACAAATCCAATCCAGCACAAGGAGAAGTAGTTGCTCAGGTTCCCTTCCATTGTTGTAATGGTTTTAACTGTTGTTTTGCTGAGTTATGCAACAAGTTATCCTTTTGTATGTCTCCTTTTAATACATAACAGAGAATTAGCAGCGGTTGCTTCAGTTGTTTTTCATATGAATATTTCATGCTCCCTTCCCCGTTAAGTTCCTGACTGCCCCTGTGGTGATAGAGTCACATTCAGGACCCTTGCTGCTTTACTGATGTTAACAGGGGCTAACGTTGACAGTCATCAAGCTGACTTGGTTGATTCATCCATATAAGCAGCCTTATTCATTAAACGCCATAATGAGGATTTACCCACATCCTTGAGCAGTTAAGAACATCAAATGCAAGGTAAAGAAGTTTTACTGGGGCAAATTTTGCAATGATTATTTAAACAGAGCCATTCACCCCAGTCATAAATATATGAGGCCTGGGTTCAAAACACCTTCTTAAGACAAGATATCACAGTCTGAAAAACAGAATTCAGTAAACAGCCTGTGAAGCCTCAGGGCTTGCTGCCATTTAAACCTGCACTAAAACGTTACTGATTATCCCACCTGCATGTTGACCATGCCACTGTCTCAGACACAGTCAGAGGGAGCAAACAACATAGCTGGGAAATGTGGTAGAGCAGTGAGCATGAATGCAATATGTAAATGCGGTGACCAGAATGAGTGGCAAGTCTCTCACAAGCAGTGTTCTGCAAAAACTGCAGAGAGAAAGTATTCAAACACTGTGCTGCTGGGAGTGTAGTAAAGCTTTGAAGAGAGAAGGAGAGGAGAAGCTGTCTACTTTGAGAGTTAAAATTAATACAAAAGGAATAAAATGATTAGAAGACTCGAGTATGAAGGAAAGACTCAAAGTATGAAAAGACCCAAGAAAATTCTTGATTCATATCATTGTATAAATAGAGCATTTCTCTCTGAAGAGTAAAACAAAGAAGAAAAAGCTCTGAACTTACTAAGGTCATTCCCACATGAGAGCATTCAGAGATGAGGATGGAATGAATCCTCGCCTTCCAGATTCATCCATGGTCTGTTCAGATTTCCCCGAAGTTGGTGAAGAACTTCCTTGAAGAAGCTGAAGTTCACCTTCTCCAACCATTTGCCTTTGGTAAGAGCAGGAGCAAATAGCGACTCTGACCATGACTCAAAAAGATGTGTGCAGTTCTCCCATTGCTCCAAATGTCTGAGGCATGCCAAATAAAGGGCCCCAGGCTCATCATCTGAGGCTGTGCTTCAAATGGCATCAGTCAGTAACTGGCAAATCATCTAGCTGAAAGCCTGGGAGTTAACTCTTGTGGGAACTGAATGGCAGCAAGTGGAAAGTTATCTTGAGCTGCTACAATACCAAGAGACATAGTTTAAACAAACAAATGCAAAGTGAGTAGGAAATCTATTTGGGGATGATTCTGATGATAAGATCTGAAGGGAAAAAAATCTCAATTTAGAACTGTGCCACCACATGGCATCTAAAAGAATACAAGTTGATGCGTAAATTTATCTTACATTTTTTAATATGAGAAAACAAAGTGAGAAAGAGGGAGAGGGAGAATGAAAGAGAAGAAAGAGAAAAAGGATAAAAGGTGAGGAAAAAAAGAATGAGGAAGGAAGGAAGGAAAAATAATTCACAGAATGAAGAAAAGAGAGAAAGGAACCACAGAGCAAAGAGAACAGCCACATCATTGTGCTAGTTTTATATATCCATTTCTCTTGCTAAAAACTGTACCTTGAGATTATTCTACTAAAACAAAACAACCCAGCAATGTGAACCAAATATCTGTTTCAACAGTCTCCCCTGAAAAGTTCAAACAGGCCTAAGAGTAGACAAACTCTTGGAAAAGTCCCCTGAGGATGCCCCCTGCTTTTGCCCCAAGTATTAGGTTGTTTTTATATTCAGATACTAGCAGAACAAACATTCTTAGCCAAAAAAGGAGAGAGTTTTCTTGGTCTTCTCCTTTAGATGTTTCACTAAAACTACCAAATCCCCAAATGGGAAAAACTTCTAACTAATGCGAGAAATAAATGACCCCAAAGGGAGGGTCAGAATAAAGTTAGGAAAGAAACAAAATCAAATAAAACAACTTCTAATTGCTTTTTGTTGGCTTTAGTTGTAACTTTACAATTAACATGTACCTTATGTTCAAAAGCTATGGGACAAAAAATTTTAAGCTACCTCTGAGAAAGAAATACCCTCTTCGTTTCCCATAAAATGAAATATGCGTATGAATAATGAGAAGGGTCACTGTAGGAACACATTAACTTTTCAGTACTGACCAGGTACCTGGGCTTGTAGCCCACTGTGCAAATGCAATCTGAAGCCAGGGATGCTTTGGCCTTTGTGTCTCCAGAGGGCTGGTGGCTAGTGATACCTCTCTCACACGCACAGCACCTCCGTCATGACTGGTCCCTGGGGCACCATCAGTCATCATCTACACGGCCATGGCAGCAGCGTGAAACTTGGTCTTGAGGGAATAGGTCACAAACACAGCTTATTCTTCAGGAGAGGAAGCTTGGATAGCACATGGTGACCCCATGCCTGCTGACCGTTGGAGTGTTTATATCAGATGCTGCCAAGAGATGGAGTGGCTATTTCTGAATCAGTTTAACTGTTCAGATATGGAAGAAGGAGGCTACAATAACAGAACATGGAGCCCACGGTATATGGATACTCTTAATTTCAATCTATACCGAATATACAGTAAGATGTGACAGGAATGATAATTTATCCCAAAACTTTTCTCTCCAACACTAACCTGGTGGGACAGAGTAGCTTTGCAGTGCATGTAAATGGAATATACTAACATTTTCAAATATCCTGTATTTACAAAGCTAGCAGTGTTACCTTCATATCTTTTTTATTTTTAATTTTATCATTTTCATATTTTGTATCTCCAGTTCCTGGAAGGGAAGGTAATCTGAAGAGAACATGCAATTCATTCACTAAACACAACCCAACAATTTAGGATTATATAAGCCATTTTAGAGGGATTGATAGAGGAGCCAGTATATAAAAGCCTCTGAGTACCTGGGAGTCAGATCTCATAATTATATACTTACACAAGCCATGAGCTTTGGCAGCACTTTCAGGCAGAGCAGTTTTGCCTGATGGTCATTCAGTCATTACTGCTCTCCAGCTGAAATTCATTCCATAACTACTCAGCTCAAACAAAGGTTAGGAACTGAGCTGAGGTTTCGGAGGAGTGTGGACTAAAGAGCTGGGCTGAAACAATCAACAGAAGGTTGAGGGGCACACTGGAAAATAGAGGGGTTGTAAGATGACCAAAGCCCAAACAGAAGGCTCTAGGGTACCATGGAGAGCAGAGAACTGTGGAGCACAGTGGGGACAAATGCATTGTTCATAAGTATCTTAAGATCCAGTAAGGTTCACAGATACTAGATGAGGCAGAATGACATATAGTTATGTAAATGAGATGAGAGTATCACTAAACTAAGAGTTAGGCTTAGGGTAAACCTTAGGGTTAAAGTTATCCTAAGCCAAAACCCACCACAGAACTTGCTAGACATCTTTTATCCTACTCGTGTCAGAATGATCCTAGCATATGCACAGTTCCCTAAAGGGTGGTAACTGATGGACTGTGTTTTATATGCAACAGGTATGACAGCTGGATTTATTGCTGGCTTCTGTAAAGCAAGCTTAAAGTATGTGTCACCAGCCAGTTTTGAGGCCAGCAGGAATCATCTGCTCATAGTAAAAGTGAGGCTACGGTTGAAGTTAAGGTTTAAGAAAACAGAAGATAAAGACTAACAAGATTAAGTCCAGAATAAGGGTTAGGTTGAAGACTCCTTAGTGGCTACTTAGTTGTTATAAAGCCGGTTGTAAAATCCTGTTAATTGAAACCATGGTGGTGTGTTTTTATGAGAACAGTAGGGAACAGCAGGCTTCAAAAGCAAGGATTACCACTTAATCCCGAAACCCTACTGAGAGATTTTGACAACCAAAGTTGTTAGTGGTGAATTAGTCATATTTTTTCTGGGTGGTGAAGGCCCATCACATATTGTTTATGAAAGTGAATTTAGGGTGTGTGGCAGAGGGCCTGAAAACCAGAGAAAACCCGTTAAAAGCCTTATCTGAGGTAAGAATAAGGTGGCTAGTGAGAGATGGGCAATTTACAGTCAGCATACCCTAGGTCCCTAAAAATAGTTTGGTAAGGCTATTTTCAGATATCTTTTCTGTTCTTAGCCAGAGATATTTTTGGATGATTCGTGCATTTTAGGTTCTGCTCTGAAATGCTTGATGAGAAAAGGGTTGATAATAGCAGATAGAAAGCTAGGGGCAGATGGGCCCAAAACCAGTGTGTTGGGCTCTGGAAATCCCTTCAAGCAAAGTGAGATGTCTGTCCCATTACCGCATCACCCAGGTTGGTGGAAGTTGGAAGAATTGTTTGCCTGTAACTTCATGGGCTGAGTGTCAGGTGAGCACGGGAGGATCTGGAGATGTTCCTGCTCTTGACTTGAGCCGCACCTTCATCTTTCCCACCTGCACAGCTCAGGTGGCATGCCAGGGATCAG